TAGAAGAAACCTGATTAACCTGGAAAGAGAAAGATGGAACAACCGCTACGCCTCTCTCCAACCAGACTCTGATCTGGAGGATGCGGAGGCCGAGTACACATATGGAAATGGGGAAATTCAGGAAGCTGCGATTAAACGCATCAGTAAGATGGAACAGAGGGCGAATAGACAGCTGGTCGATCAGTTGAGGAAAAGAAGGGAGGAGGAATTCCTTTCGGAACTCCTCAGCCTTATTGCGGACCGTGGATTGGAAAATGAGGTAGAAAAAGTCCTGAAGAAGAAGAAATATGCCAAAAAACCGACTGCAGAGGAGGAGTACGAGGAGTGGAACTCCGTGCACCGCCCGGAGTGGAATGTCCCGATCCCGCCTAAGACCTTGGCAAAATTAGAAAGAAGAAAAGCCCTCAATGCAGCCAGGGAGGCGGAAAAAAACGACTCCAGGAGGAGAGGGAGGCCAGCTTACCGGGTCCTTCATATGCTAGGAGGGAAAGGGAGTTGGAAGCACGCGAGGCCGAGAAAGAAGAAGAAATTGTGGATATGAAAAAGGGCCAATTTGGCCATATATTTGGACAGAACTCTCCGACTGACACTTAGTGCTTTCGTGTTTTCTTTGTATCTAATTAGGGACGTTTGGTTTTTGGAAAAGAGTATTTTGGTAACAACGAAAAATATTTTATTGGATGTGAGATCAATTTTGACTGAGTGTTTTTGGAATTATATGCGAGTATACTATGGTTTAAGTATGGATATGAGAAAATGGAAACATGATTGTCTAATGAATATAATTTTTAAGGTTATTCGCTACAGTCTATGCGTGGACTATGTTGGGAAGCAATATTGGAATGTATTCATGAAGACCTATATATTCATGGATTACTGGTTGGACACGTCGGGAAGCCTTTTATCTTCCCCCCCGTATGAAACGGGTAATAATGTTCTTTATTATCTGAATTATTGTAATCGTCCAAAGGTGGTGGTTTGTATTTTATTAGAAGATAAGGTTATTGAGATTGTTTGTATGCGTTTAAAAGAAAAAGGCGTTACGATAAGATGCGCTGCAATTTATTTTTTCTCTTTTTATAACTCTCTTTTTACTTTAAGTACCTCCATTTGTGAGGCAATTTGGACCTTTCGTTATAAGAATGATTTTCAGTTCCCTTTTTTCAATAGTCTGTTAAAATATAGTAACAAAGAAAGGAAATGTGTCTATACGTGTTTTGTTGTCCCTTCTGTGGGGGGTAATTGGTTGTTTGGCCTATTGGGGTCACTTGGAAAAGATACTGATGCTGTGCTGCTTTGTAGGTTGATGCGGTCCTGCTGTCCTGCTCTCCGGAGGAATTTATTATGTAAGTTTAGCGAGGGACGAGCTTTGATGGGATGGGAGAACCGAATCGGAGGTAGTAAATGTATACTAATCAAATTACAATGGCGAATAATTTACTGTTAGGGATTTGGAATGCTAGAAGTGTGAAAGGAAAGATAGCAGAAATGAAAGAGTATGTAGGAAAGTTCCACGTGTTCGGAATCACTGAGACATGGCTTAAACCCGCGGATAGGTTTAATCTCCCGGGATATAATATTGTTAGGAATGATTTGAATGAGGATAGACAAGGAGGGGGGATAGCGGTATGTATTAGACAAGAAATCAGTTACAAGGTTAGGGAGAATTTGATTTGGAATGGTCAGGGCAGACAGGTTCTGGGAGTAACTTTGGAATTACCGTCAGGCCTGCTAGAGGTACTAATAGTATATAGGAGGCCTGGTATCCCGTGGACACGGCGGGACTGGGTGGATTTATTTGAAAACTGTAGAAGGGGGGTGGCTACGATTATTATGGGGGACTTTAATGCTAGAAGTAGGCTGTGGAATTGTAGCGTAGATAGCCGTGAAGGGCGACTATTAGAAGATGTCATAAGAGATTGGAATATGTTCGTGTTAAACAGATTCACCTTGTCTAGAATAGGCTATGGGGGCCGCCCCCCCTCAAACCTTGACCTGGTAATTGGATCACAAGAAATAATGAGGAAAGGCTTAGTGGAACAAGAAAACGAAACGATGGGGTCGGACCACCAGGTCATACTCCTGCTCCTGCAAATGAGATGGCAAAGCCCCCAAATACCTAATGATGGGAGGGAGAGGAAATATAATGTGAAGAAAATGAATTGGTCTCTATACAGGGTTTACACCGGAGAGGAAGCCGAGAGTCTAGCGGTGATATGGGATAATGAGCCCTGGGATAATAATGGAGTGGACACAAAATGCGCTCAACTGTTGGAAACGCCAGACAGGGCCATCTGCGGAGCTGGCGGCGCCTTTAAGCCCCGCAGGAGCCACCCTATCCGGGACCCTCTCAGACAACATGGACTACACTGCGCGAGGCGGAAAAGAGGATGAGAGATCTAGTGTGCAGTAAGAAGAGTAAGGCTTGGGATGATTTTGCGAACTCCATAGACTGCTTCACGAGCGCTAAGGAGGCGTGACGCAAAATCAAGAATATTGCTAATGGAATCACAAAAGAAGGGGAAGAGATCCCCCGGGAGGAGAGAAGAACATTGGAAAATAGAGAAACGGAGAAGATTCTGGGGCCCGGGAGAGACGCTCCGGGCCCACAGGAGGAAGAGCGGGACAGTATTCCTATGGAATTAAATGGTAATAATAACGTAGAACCATTCACATTGCAGGAACTGAATTGGGCGCTGAAGGGCACCAAGGCGTCCTCCGCGCCCGGAGAGGACGGCATTTCCTATGCCTTCCTGAAACATATGCACGAGGATATGAAACGGATGGTACTAAATTTGTACAATGGAATTTGGAAAATGGGATGTATCCCATCATGTTGGAAGAAGGGTGGTGGTTAGGTTTCTGCCCAAGCCTGGGAAAAGGGCAGTCAGGCCGATTTCGCTTATTGACTGCCTAGGAAAACTGTTAGAAAAATTGGTTAAAAATCGCCTGCAGGAGTGGGTGGAGCAGGCCGGGATCGTCGACCCCCGCCAAAGCGGCTTCATGAAAGGGAGATCCACCTTGGATAACCTTACGGCCCTCACCCTGGACATAAAGGAGGCTTTCCGCCGCAAGGAGGATGTCTCGGCGATCTTCGTGGATGTGAAATCAGCCTATGATGGGGTAAATCATGGGAAGATGCTAGAGATTCTAAAAAGAAAAGGATGCCCGGTGGCGGTGAATAGATATTTGATAGATTGGCTTAAAAATAGGACAGCGGTATGTAAAAAGAAGTTCGACCCGGATGTGTTGGGGAGGATCTCCAAGGGTCTCCTCCAGGGCTCGGTCTTGAGCCCTCTACTATACAATATATATACTGCAGACATCTGTGCTGACATAGAATTGGAAAACAGAAGGATTTTGCTATACGCTGACGACATAGTAATATATGTATGGGAGAAAAATAAAGAGATCAGAGAACGATTATTAATAGAGGCAGTGGAAAGGATTATGTATAACCTGAGGAATATTGACCTCGATCTGTCAATGGATAAGACACAGTGGATTAACTTCACGAGGAATAGGGCTAGGGGAGGGATGATTAGCACGCTGGTCATTGAAGGCATGCCCATAGACAGTAGCAGGGAGGTTAAATTTTTGGGGGTAATTCTGGATGAGGGTTTGTCCTTCTCCAGTCAGGTGAATTATGTATGTAACAGGGCGAAGAAACGGTTGGATATTCTACGATTTGTTGCCGGTGTTAAGAAAGGAGTCAACCCTAACACCATGTTGATTTTTTTCAAGGGGTTGGTCCGCGCAGTAATAGAGTATGGCATCTTCGTATATTTCTGGGACAATAAAAAGGGCCGGGAGAGGCTGTCGAAGCTTCAGAACGTGGGTCTGCGAATTGCAATGGGTTATAGGATTACCACGCCCATAAACGTTATGAACATTGAATCCGGAATTATGAACCTGGAAACGCGGGTGGAGGTCCTAATGGAAAGATTTATACTTAAGCATAGACTTAGTGCAGACAGTCTGGTCAGGAAGAGTCTCTTGAACTCCGTAGTCATTAGAGACGAAATAAATTGGGAGGAGATGGAACCTTGGTCGAGATTTTGGATTAGGATTGAAGAATGGATGGATGTATGCAAGAAAGTGAATGTGAATAGAACCGAGTGGTTGAACTTTGGAACCTTAGTAAGAGAGGGTGGTTTTAGGGTGAACTGGGATATGGGCAAAGCTAGAAAAGATATAGAAATCAGTGATCGAGCTCTTTTTAGCGAAATCTCGAGAGGCTTTTGGGGTAATGAGGATCAGGATAGGATAATAGAAATTTATACGGATGGCTCAAAAAAAAAAGAAGGCCTCTCGGTAGGTACTGGAATGGCGACACGACTAGGAGATGGTTCCTGGGAGGAGGCTTCCTGGTCCCTTCACAGGGCCTCCTCGGTTTTCTCAGCAGAAGCCTTCGCAATTCTTCAAGCGATAAGGTATGCGAGTAACAGGCCCAGAACGGAGAGGTTTCTGATTATTACAGACTCCGCTACTGTCCTAGAAAAGATCGCGCATGTGGGGTCGGATCTGGGAGATAACCCTTGGATTCATGATATTTTGAGAGAATTGATAGCTAATAGACCGGGAACTGATAGTGCGGCTCCCGCCGGCTAAGATGTGGCGTTTGCATGGGTTCCGAGCCATGTTGGAATAGAGGGCAACGAGAAGGCTGATGTCTTGGCAGGATCAGCTACTTTCTCAGAAGAGGATATATTCCCGGGAATACCGGAAAGGGATATTAGATCGTTCATGCTGAAGAGGGCATGGAAAAGGTTTACTAGTAAAATGTGTAGAATAGGCCTTTTCAAAGGAGTTAAATATTTCAATAATCGAAATAATAATGTTGGAAATAGACACCCTTGGTTTTATAAAATCAACGGGTTGGATAGGAAATTCCTCATTAGAATGAATAGACTCCGGTCTAATCACTTTAATTTAGGGGAATCTTTATTTAGGAAGAACTTGGTAGAGAACAAGGAGTGTATTTGTGGTAGTCAGGAAGAATCTTTGGAACATGTAATTTGGGAATGCGATAGATTTACGTTAGATCGTTTGAGGCTAGTAGCCTTTTTGGAAGAAAAGGGCTTTGATCATGGAACAGAGATCTTGGAACTGTTAATGTGTGGGAACGTGAGCATATGGAAAAGAGTATTAAGATTTCTTGATGAGTTGGGTAAAGTTATTTAATGGAGGTCTCCCCATCACCACGCGGGGCTCGCCCCCCGCTGAACGGATGACAGGACGCCAGATACACGACACGTAACATTTCCTTTCTTTTCTCTTTATTGTGTAAAAAGATTATGAGCGGAGATGTGTGTGTGTCGAGCGCTAAAGAAATTGTACAGTTTGGGATATGAAGTATGAATTGGCCGCTTTTTTCGTTGGGCAAAATAGGGGGAAATATCCCCCTGATAGAACGCCATATTGGGCTACGCCCAAGAAAAGCCTATTTGTAATGTAATGTAATGTAACCCTAATGTGTCAAAACAAGGAGTGTCAACGGGGAACAAGACCAATGTAAGAAGACTCGTTCAGAATAAGAACAAGAACAAGATTACCAATTAAGAAAGCCTGATTGTCAACTAAATGAAAAGAAACGAAACAAGGTAAGATAATAATTGTAATAACGCACAATAAAATAAACAGGAATAGCACAACTTAATGACAGGTATATTAAATTCCTACAGAAACACCACAATGTCGCACCATCATGAAAAGGGCTATGTCAACACCTCAGAGGAGTCATGAATAAATTAAATTAAATTAGATTAGAGAATATCAAAGAATATTCAAACATCCAAGGACGCATAACAGGTGACAAGACAGAATGCAGCAATAATACAGTAGTGACAAGCGTGGCACAAATTTAAATATAGAAAGTAGAAGCAAAAACAGACAGCAATAAAGAAATATAATAATAGAATGCGAGGAAGTGTAATAAGAGAAAATAACAAGGAAGAAAGAAAACAAGAAGGAAAACAGGGCCAATATCGAATGACAGTAAAATCAAGAGTAACACATGTAAGGAACATAACGAAAGAAGCAATGTATAAATAAATAAATAAATAAATAAATAAAACCAATGCACTGTGTAAATGCTGAACTTATTAATAACAAAAACCATGCACCTTTACAACCTTAATCATATTGAAAAGGAACAGTCAAAATATAGTATCAGCATAGAAGAACTTAATTGAAATTAATCAGAATAGAATCAATGAATCAATGAATCAATGAATCAATGAAATCAAATTGTGGCCAATGAAACGATAAAAGAAGTAAGTAAATAAGAAAATAAAGAGAGCGTGAGCGAAAGCATGAGTGTAAAGTGTAAGAAAACCTAACCAACATAATATAATGTAATGTAAAACCAGATAAGATAGAATAAAATACAATACAATGAAGTAAATTCCAACAAAATATTATTTCTTTATCAAAGTAATTATAAATTTATTGTAAATTGTAAATGATAAATGGTAAATGATCGTGTCAATGCAGATGCAAATACAAACAGAAATTGGTTATTGAATGGCGTATCAAGATAAAATAACTAAAACGACAAATAAATCAAATAAAATCAAATATAAACTGCGTACTTCAATTAGCATTATAACACTGTATAATCTAAGAATAAATAACTAAGTATGATATTTAAATGATGGGATTATAAGACTATAACAGAAACCACGCTCCATCAAAGCATCTGAATAGACAAAACTATTCATCATCACAGAAAGGGCAAAGATTGAAATAACTAATATAATATCCATTAACTGTAGATGATCAGAATGAATGAAAAATGACAGAATGAACGACTGATCAGTGAAGTTATTAATTAAAGAAATTAAAAAGAATGAAGTGAATAGGAAGGCGTAAAGTATAAAGTGAAAGCCGTGGCCAGCATAATGTAAATAATGTAATGTAACGCAGTGTAATATAATGTAATGTAATGAAATGTAATATAATGTAAAACAAATTAAATATAATAAAAGAGAATACGAAATACAAGAAGTAGGCTCCAATGAAATATAACCGTAAAGATTATTATCTGAATACTCTATTTCTTTACCAGAGTACATTCTGAGTTAAATTGTAAATGGTAAATGGTAAATGGTAAATGACAAATGATTATGTCGATGCAAACGTAAATAGAACTGATTATTGAATAACGTTTCAAGATAAAGTAAGTAAACAACAAATAAATCAAATCAAATGTAAGCTGCGTGGTTCAATCAAACACCGGGTGGAACTATAAGTATACTATAAGAATAATAAGTCAATAAGTAAGGTATTTAAAATGATATTTAAAATGATGAACTAATAACAGAAACCACGCACCATTAAAGCATTTGAATAGACAAAATCACTTGTCAGCACAGAAGAAGGAATAAAATTAGAATAAAATAAATCAAATCCATTAACTCTAATCAAATGAATAATCAATGAAAGAATAAATGAATAAATGAGTAAATAACGAATGCGAGCACAACAGTTATAGAAATTAAGAAAATGTAAGAAAATGTTAGAAAATGTAAAGTGTAATGTGTAACCAAACATAACCAACACAATTCACTGTCATATAAAATAAAATAAGATAGAATAAACACAATAAAATGGATTAAATTTCACTGAAATATGACAGCAACGATTATTGGTTCCATCACTATTGCTTTATAAGTTATAGATTATAAATTGTAAGTGATTATGTCCATACAAATGCGAATAGAAAGTAGAAATTGATAAGCGAATGATGTATAAGATAATAAATAAAAGCGACAAATAGATCAAATCAAATCAAATCAAATGTAACCTGCGTGATTGAATTAAACACCATACTACTGTATAGTAAAGGAATAAGTAGATCAATAAGTAGGGAATTTAAAATGTTATTTAAAATGGTGAGATCATAACAAAAACCACGCACCAACAAAGCATTGAATAAACAAAATCACTTATCAGCACAGAAAGAAAATAAAATAAATCAAATCCATTACTTTAATCAATCAAAATGAATAACAATGAATAAATAATGAATGAATGAATGCGAGCACCGCAGTTATAGAAATTAAGTAATTAAGAAAAAGAAAATGAAAATGAAAATGAAAATGTAAAGTATAATGTAATGTGTAATCAAACATAACCAACACAATGTACTGAAACATAGAATAAATTGAAAATAGAATAAATACAATGAAGTGAATTAATTTCAACCAAATATAACCACAAAGATAAAGATTATTGCCTCCATTACTACCACTTTACAATTCTAGATTATAAATTGTAAATGATTATGTCCATACAAATGCTAGCAGAAACTAAAAACTAGAAACTGAAAATGATAACCGAATGCAGGATGCTGGATCAAGATAAAGTAAGTAAAGCGACAAATAAATCAATTCCTATATAGACTGCGTAGTTCAATTAACACTATACCACCTTGTAGTCTAAGAGTAAATAAATAAGTAGGATATTTAAATGATGAGATTATAACAGAAACTACGCACCATCAGAGCATTTGAATGGACAAAACCACTTATCATCACAGAAAGTGTAAAAAGCAAAATAAATCATATCAAAATATCAAAATCAAAATAAATCATATCCATTAACTTTACTTGATAAAAATGAATGAATAATGAATGTGTAAATGAATAAATGAATGGGCAGTGGATAAATGGATAAATTGAAGGAAGAAATTAGAGTAGAAGGAAAGGAAAGGAAATTAAAAAAATTAAGAAATGAATTACAGAATTGCAAAGCCAACTCGCCCAACAAATAAACTACACATATCAATCAATCATTCATCGCACAACACCATGAAGACAAATACACTGAAACACAGCTGAAACAAAACTAAAACATCACTGGAACAAGCAAAACAAAACTGAAAATGAAAATGAAAAAGGAAGGAAATTAAAGGTGTTACGTCCCGGCGGAAAATTTGAAATTTATCCGCCTTGCGTCCCTTATCAAGCCCTTTTGGGTTACGAGAATTTCTCATGTAAGGGGCGTACAGGGAAGAGTTTGAGTTTAATTCTTTTCTATTTTTGACTTCCTCTATCGCTTGCTCCTCTTTACCTGCTCTACCCTGGAATCGTGTATCTTGTCAAGCTCTATCGAGGGTTACGAGAATTTCTCATGCAAGGTACACGAGGAAAGGCCGTTTCTATTTTCCTTCTTTTCAATAGTTTGCGTGACCCTCCTTGAAACTATCGTCGCCAGCCATTGTAACATAAGATAGTAATACGCACAAAAACTCGGGTTAGCTCGAGAGAGAGAGAGAGAGAACCGTAGCAATAACACCAGCGCTACGCAGTTAGCCAGTGCTTCGCATTCCGGGAATTTCCCTTGCTAACTGCGTAGAAACGGGAAAATCGTAATAACTCTTTTGTTAGAAACCTCTTTCTCACTCTGCTGCACAAAGCGTCAGCCGGTCCAACAAGGATCATCATTACCTGATTGTAACGATAGTATGAGAGAGTGGATGGATGAAAACGAATTTAAACAATGAAAGTAAGGACTGAGAACCCTTACGAAAGCGAACGTCGCGAACGTTCGACCGCCGTTCGAAAATCAAGGGTCGTTCGAAGCAATAAACACTATTGTATCGAAATTCTAAGAACTGCCTAGCGATAACGGCAAAATTTGAACAAAGGAACGTTCTCGAAGGAACGTTCGCCAGATTTAGAATTGTTTAAAATTCATAAAATGCGAAATGCCGAATTCATCGAGGCGATAGTTTTAATGTGCGATAGATTGCATAATTCGCCGCGGCGTTACAACCACCGTAAGCGCATCATCCGCTTTAAACATATTAAATCAGACTGTCTTTATTGCAAATCGGGAAAATGAATAATTTTGATCATGACATACGGATGACGGTTTCCTATCAAAACCTCTATATTTCAATTTCAAATCTCATTCTACATTCCAATTAAACTAATAGTTATATATCGATTAAATGCCATTAATTAATTATACGTATAAAAAGAAATACTGCGTAGTTTCTGAAAACCGTTGAAACTATCATGGCGACGAACTAGAAAAGGAAGGAACACCAAAGAAAGGGGATGAAAGATCTTCGTCTAGCTCGCGCGTCTTAGCCAATCACCGGGCACGCGACACTTCCGAAAACGAACTACGATTCGCCAAACCGTCCCCTCCAAGGACGATGTTCGCGCGACGGGCCCTTCGACCATCGATCGCGCACGAAATTTGTCACTCTTGATCGATCAATCGTAAGTACGTGATCGGGAGCCCGTGTGTCCGAGAGACAGAGTTGTTCGGAATTTCGTGATAGATTTCCTCTGCAGTAAAGTCCTCCGCGTAGCGAGGCAGAGTGCCGTGGTAGTTGAAATAATCCGATTCTTAACAAGGACTCACAGACGTGCACGTTAAATCTTCCTTCTACCTAAAATTTCTATCTTTTCTTTCTAATTTTAAATCGTTTGCTCGCGTAGTAATTTCTCGAATTAACTTCATTCCGCGTAAATACATATATTGATTATTTCCGTAATTAATTATAATTCGTTATTCGTTTGTCTCTCGTCGACGTACTCGTCCGCTTTAATTCGTTTCCGCCGCGACAAGTGCAGTGATCGACATCTTACCGTTTCTTTGGTGTTCCAGATCATCAAGCGAATACACAGACTCTTAGCAAGCGAAAATTATAATCTTGTATTGTATTAAACAGCGTAACGGTAAATCGATTCCATTACATTTTTCAATCGCGACGTTATCAATTGGCAAAACGAGCGATCTGGTCCAGCCCTTCAGGGTTACGAGAGTATCTCAGATCAGATCGTTCCATCACACGAGGTATCGACTGATTTTATTATTTTTCCCGTTTATTGCAATCTCGCAATTCCAATTTTTCCATCATCAAAAGGGCACCTTAGTCCAGCTCTTTCGAGAGTTACGAGAATTTCTCAAGCTGGGGTGTACCACG